ATCCCACATCTCATTCATATTACACAGCGCACGGGCTTAAAAGGATATCCAAATTTAGCGTCAGTTTCCACAAGTGAATAATTGGTATCAGACACAAGGACAAAGTGAAGGTTGTGTCTCCACCTCCAAAACTTATCCTTACCTGATCGTTAAGAAGAATTGACGGTGGATGTTTTATCCTGCTCACTTAGTGATGGTTTGAAATTCTGTGTTGTGTTAGTTTGGTATGCTGAGGTGGCATCTGATAAGGAAACTGTAGGTCTAGGTGCAATTAAGGCACATTTTACAATTATATGACAGTCGTTAAGGAAATTAGAAATTTTGGCATGCACTTGAGTGAAGGTGTTGGTGTCAGTCATAAAAGTAAAAGCTGCAATTAAATCTCTCCTTTTAAAGTAAGTGTATAGTGTGTATGAAACTGTCCAGCATTTGGCAAAGAAGTCCAGAATATTAGGCCGTCGCTTCTATGAAGAAATATTCATGAGGAGAAGGCTTACGGCTTCCAGAGGAAATATCACTGAATCTTGGAACTGTGCTGAAATACTGTTCTCTCACATCTGTGGATGTTGAAAGGTCTGTGCATGTAAACTTGTCCTGACAGAGAAGCATCACAACTTACTCCTGAAAATGTAGAAGAAAGACATTGTGACACTCCAATGCAAATCATGACCCAGAAAAAGTGTGGAGATGAGAACCTGTGATATTTGCATACTTTGCCTTTTCAGAGCCCATTTTTGTGCTTCGAGAGCATAGTTTTTTAATATTTGGAGGACATGCATGTCCCACCCCCACCAATTTTTTAATGCTTAGGAATTTGATGTCTGCAGATAAGTAATGATGTGCTGGCTCTAAGGGTGAGATAGTTTTATATGGCAGTAGCTCATGAGTAGCATTTACAAACACGGCATTGTGCGGGATTTCATAATGTTATGGAGAATATTGAATGAAATTCAGTGATGGAAATTTTGTATAGAAGTCGATCATTATGTTATATAATCATTAATTTATAGTTGCTGCTAATCTTGCTGTGTAGGCTGAAACATATGAAGGAAAGAACACTTCATTGAGTTAGTTCTTCCCATAGCTTCTTGTTCCCCTGCTCGATGTAGGAAGGAAATATTGAAACTGATTTTGAGAAAATAATTGAGAGAATGCAAACTTGACTGACCTGGCTGCTTACAATCAAAAGGCAGCTTTTTAGATGATGTTGAAGTTTACCATCTATAAGAATATTGGATTTATTAATAGCTGACTAATTAAGTTACCATGACAGCCAGCTCGTAGTTTCCATTCTCTAAAGAATTCTTTGGTCTTATACAAACAAGTAATATGTTTCTGTAGTAAGATACAGAAACACCGATTTATATTACATTTTCTGTTGCATTGATATCACTTATGAGTGACACTAGACTTAACAATCATTGTGGTTTGGTGTGGGTAAGAAATGACTGCTCGTCTCCCTGTGCAGATTAACTGTTAACGAGGAGCTTGAAAGGGGTAAATTAACAACTGTAAAGTTGATGTGGTGCACCCAAATCAGTTGGGATAAACACAGGCTAAATATGGTTTATTATGCAGGTTACTGAAGATCTTGATTTGTTTTTTTTTTAATCAGCTGCTCTTGAAGGAGACTGTTACTGTTTCACCGAGAAAAGAATATTTCCCCTTGACCCAAGTGTGGGTAGTACAAAGATAAAGCCCCCAAACTCTAGATTTTGCCATTAAATGGAGGTGGAAAGTCATTTTCGAAGAATATTCTTTGGTATCATTGGATTGGCTGGGCCCAGACCCATTCTGTGTGTAGTGGCAAACAGACAAATTCTGTCCTTTCTGGGAATTGCGCCAAAGTTTAATGAAAGGGGTTATATTGACCTTTTTTATTGTCTAAGTAAGATTTGAGGCTTTCACGGCGGTGACTATGAAGGAAACAGTCTTCTGGGATTTGGCACCGTGTAAATGTGGTGTTAACCGACGTTTCGGAGGAACATATCGTAAAGCAGACTGCTTTTACCGGTTCTCACGGTCTCTTTCCTTGCAGATTTCTTATATATTTTTTCTTCTACCCTGAAGATGGAGGCGATACGTTCCTCCGAAATGTCGGTTAACACCACATTTACACGGTGCCAAATCCCAGAAGACTGCTTTTTTATTGTCGTTACAAAAATGACTTGTGGCAGGAAACTATTTGTATAACATAAATATATATCACCTGAAGTATATAATATTCATTTGGTGCATTTAAGAGAAATACAATTCATCTGTATTCTCACACTAAGTTCTCTGGGCCAATGTGAAACAAGTGAACTTATCTTACAGTCTTTAGTGTGTCTATCGAGTCCTTTCAGAATTCTTTTTGTGGTTTTCAGGCTGAAACTTGTGGATGGTTAAAACCTCCCATAAGTCATTCTTAATTTTACACATTATGTATGGTATGTGCATAAATTAAGAATAATTTGAATACTGCATATAAAAAATGCCATAGTTAACACTTTTGCCTGATCTTTTTAAAATTTATAGGGTGGTATGAACCAAGGCTTTTTAATTTTAAATGAGGCATTATTGTGTTAGAAGGGCAAGTTACTTTTAATGTTACCCTGTTTTAATATATAAGGAGCAACGAATGGTTTTGCAACAACCAAATTTGTGGAGGATGGTCGATTTTAGAGCTGGATATATACGAGGTGCAATTGGGAAGTTCCCAGACTAGGTCAAAAAAGAAATGCTGGCATAACTTACTCAATTTTGGCTGCTGTTTCCTTCAAAACAGTCTCCTTGGGAATGTATACAGCAATCCCATTGTTTTTTCCACATTTCAGAAGTACAGTGGAAATTATTTTCCTTAATGCTGCCGAATACCCCTTGCGATTCCCTTTGGATGCCAGATACTGTTTCAAAACATCATCCCTTCAGTTT